GTCAGTGGCATCAAAGGAAAGTCATGGTGGGCCGTCTGTTCAGTCTCAACACTGCCAACGCCATCAGCAAGAGTAACCTCGCCATATTACTGACGCTCCTCTGGTCCTTTCTAATATCTTTTATGTATTTTTTCTGCAGATATGAAGCAATGAGCATCAAAATGTTACTAACATATCTGTTAAATGCAGGCTGAGGAAGCAGAACAGAGGAAAGAAGGAACTTTAAGCAATGAGAAAGAGAATAATTGAATCTTACAAAGATGGAAAGAGAATAGCCCGAGGAATCCCTTTAACATAGCCTTTTTAAAACGCCCAGTTTAATCATCTCTGAGCCAACCTGCCATTCATCTCTATAAACACCCATTTAAACACCTTGTGCAATAATACTGTATAATAATTCTACTTAAAAAAAAAAAAAAAGTTTTTTTTTTCATTTTTTACATACTTTATTAATCCCAGAGGGAAATTAATTCTCTACATTTAATTAATCCCCTTGAGGAGCAGTGGGCTGCCATTTTGCGGCGCCCGGGACCCAGTGTGGCAGTCTGTGGGAGTAGGGGATCCAACTCCCACAGACCGTTGCACTGGGTCCCTGAGCAAGACCAACCAATCAGACCAATCAATATGTGGACGCACTGTATATACAATATATACACCCATGCACCTTCTTCTTGTCCTTTGACTATTTGAGCTGATGTAACGAGTAAATTTCTCTGCTGTGAAATCAGTTAAGTTCAGAAGTTGGAAGGATTGTTTAAACAATCATAACCTGCATCAGTGTCTCTTGTTAGGCATAAAGAGTACATTTATGTCATTGCTAGACATAATTCCTTTGATTCTAATTGTTAATCGCATATCTCTGTTTGAAATTGTTCTTTTTAATGCAATATGATATGGGAATAATTTTAAGAAATAAATATATTGTCTTTACGTTTCTACCTGCATCAAAGGAAAACCTAGAAACTTACAGAATGTCGCCACTGGTATCAACAAGGAATAATGTTGGATTAAATGTGCAGCCTCCACCCTTCTTCAGATCCACCCAGTGTTTCCTCCACCACCTTGGTGTATCTTACCCACTTTGAAGTCTGCTGGTGTCTGAAAGGGGTCTTAAATAAAAGCCAGGCAGCTTCCAAAGACAGATAAAGGATTACAGAGAGATAAAGAAACAATATAAAAAGGAAGAGACGGGAAAAGACCCAGCATGTCAGGGGGAGGAAGTTGGTATCACAATACGAAGGAATTACCACTAGTGAAGACTGAGTACAAATATTATCCAAACTTGTAGTTTTTATATTTGTCCATACTATTAAAAGTATAGCTGAAGAACCTTAATAAACAGTGTAATGTATAAAATAGCAGGATTAAGAAACTTTAAAGATTTACTGTTTATTAATAAAAGAAGGTACTCTTGACTCAAAAATCGTTCAGATGAGAGTGACTAAAAAAGCTACGGGAAGTCACAACCTTGGTGCAACATCCTTTTACCTTCCAATAAAAAGTACTGCAGACCCTGTGCATCAGTTTGCTGGTCTTGTGTTTTGTAAGCAATTGAAATCTGTTCATGGTGAGCCTGGTTCTGGTTCTTTTGGATGTTTCTGTTAAATGGGAAGGTTTACCCTCCACTGGAATCACCAGCATTTATTAAAATAGGAAAATGCAGTGAAAGTTAAATAGAATTTGGACTTGATTGGGGGCATTTTTGATCATTTTACTCACTTAAATTGTATCATAACTGGGATTAAATTGGACTACAAGAAATTTAATAGAAATGTTTATTGTTGCAGACTGCTTTTTAGACCCAGTTGGGTTTTTACTAATTAATCAATAAACTGGATCAGTTTTTCTCTTATTGGCTACTGTAACAATGAGCCATTGCTACCTGTATATTGGCAAAAGTAGCACCTAAACACAGCATTTAGTTTTCTACATTGGTTTATTTTTGTTGTTTTGGGTGAAGTGGATTTGTTTGGGTCGTGGTTCTTTGGTTAGCCACATCTTGTTTTCATTTTTAAAAAAAGGTAAATTGATTTCACTTTACAATATTTAGCTGTTTCACTCTCCAAGCAGGTGTGTACAGGACTGTACCATTGGATAATTGAGGGGTGGGGGGGTTGATCTGATGTATGGTGTTTCCTATATTGAGTTTGAGTATTTGTTTGGATTGAATTAAAATATTTGTTTTCTGTATTTATTGGTAAAAGTATTTTCTAAGTAGTTGTTGTGAATCTGAACATCCTCTTAAAAAATGTTTTCTTCCAATTTAGTTCCTCTTCTATATAAGAAACATGTCTGCCATTGTTCTTGGTTGGTGTGGTTTGGTTGATGTCCTGCACAAGAAGAAATTAAAGTTTTGTCAGCTGAAAACTCTTCAATTGGGTCCCAACTCCAAGACTGCTTGGCCTCCTGACAAGCATGTGACAGCTACATACAAATGAACTGAAACAGAACTTTCAGAAATGAAACCAAATTAAAGTGGGCTCTGTTGATGCCATCTGAAACACCAGACTGCACGGCCAGAATTTCTCTGTATTTTCAGAAACATTGAGTTGGAGCTGACATGCTGAAGCATCATAATGGTCGACCACATTCCAGTCCAAACCTGCAGAAAGCTGCTCCAAATTCAACCACTGCATTTTATTCCTTCATCTCTCTCAGCTTTTTCAGTCCACCATTCCTCCTGCTGTCAACCCAAACAATCTAACCACCATTATCTCCCTCCCTGTAAAGCATCTCATTAGGACTCCTCTTCCTCCTCTCCTGTCGCACTAGAATGGGATCTACTGGCCCCCATAAGAGCTGCAGGAACATTTTTAAATGGATTTCCACTCGACAATCTGAGTATGTTCCCTAAAGCCAACCGTGAAACAGAGTCTTCTTTGTCTGTGCTGGATTTGGAAAGCAGGGGCCATCAAAGGCATGCAGGGGGACAGGTGAGGGAGGGTCTAATAAGAGTCTTAGATGCCTTTATGTTTGGAATGGAGTGACTTGCAGGTCACCCCTTCCCACAGAAACACCAATCAGAGGAACTATACATGTTTTAGGTGAAATTTCCCAGAAAAACTAATCTTAAAATATGAAATAGATAATAAATGTAGTATACAATAGAAGCAAATATATTAGTATGACTGCAGACGGGTCTGAGGACAGTGATGACAGGGATCTCATCTGTCCACCTGTGGAAAAAAAGGAGGGAAACGTGGGAACAAAGCAGTGAAGTAGCAGCTGATGACAGCCATCACTGCCATCATGTAAAATTATAGACGACTCAAACTGCTCTCAGCCCTAAATTACCACAATATCCTCTTGCTTCTCATCTTATTCCCACTCTGAACTGAAGAACTTGAAGATATTTTAGCTTTTCATTATGCAGAACACGAACAAAAACAGAAAACATGTCATTGTATTTGCTAAAGCCTACACTGCCATCAGTCATAAGGGTTTCCTGTCAGACTAGGATCGTTTTTAGTTTAAGCTGATTCCAAACGTATGGATCTTTAAGTTCATAAAGAAACTCTGGGACATTTTGTTTAAAACCATAGAATCTACAAAACGCAGACTAGAAGATAAAGTTATTGTATTAGAACAAGAAATATGCATGCAAGAAAAGCTTTTTGGACATGACCAAAGATTGCAGAATAGACTTTTGTTTATTTTAACTGAAGTCATCTGCAAGTCAATTTACTCTAAAATATTAAAATGCTTTAGCATGATATCCTATCAAGATATCATTTGTGCTGTATCTAAAGTGCATTATGCTGGGTTTCCTTATATGGCCCCATCAAACCGCCAGAATGATTTAAGTAGACTCTGAATGGGGTCTTAGAAAATAATCCTTTAGATGAAAACTTGTCTAAAAACACTGCCTATAACTTACACTTGCAGGTTATTTTTTTTTGTTACCCCACGAGGGCTTCAAATGCAAAAATGCTCACATTGGACATTATTTATATGATTAACGTGATATCACGTGTTGTGAAGAAACCACTGCAGCCATAGCAGTTGTGAGTTGCCTTAATGTCAAATTGAACTTTATTGATCTCACAATGAAGTTGATCTCTGCATTTGATCCATCCCTTTGGGAAGCAGTGGGCTGCCATTGTGCGGAGGCCGGGGAGCAGTGTGGGGTTAAGGGTCTTGCTCAGGAACCCAGAGTGTAGGCTGTGGGGATCAAACCAGGCGCTTGAAACCTTCTCAGAGTGCAAGCGCACTGCTCTGACCACTAGGCCAACACATCCCCAAATCCTTTGGTCATGCGTCCTACTGCTTTTAGATCTTTTGCTCAACACATCTGTAATAAATGTCTCAACTGCCCCATTAGCATGCAGTCAATTGCTAATGTTAGTCTGGGTCTTCAAGCAGAATTATCCAATGCAGGTAAGGTTTTTCTGGTTACATGTCAAATACTGCCCTCTGGTGGCTTAAAGTATAACAGTCTAAAGACTGATATGGCTGACTCAAGATGAAGTCACGAGTCATTTGCTCCTGTCAGGTATTGAAACAGGCGAAGCAACCCTAATAATTGTAGTTATTGCCAATAAGTCTACTTATTGCCATGAACATTTACAGCAGCCTATATAGCCAACACAGCTGCAACTATGGGGCTCTGCATTATGTCTTTTAGAATGGAACCCTAAAATATAAAACCTGAGCAAAGCTAAAAGGACAATTGCAACTATTCAATTAACTCAATATAAATCATGTGTGCCAACATACCGTCCTGTATAACAGTAATCTTATTGCCAAATGTTTCCAATTAATGAATGAGCAGCTTAGAGTTATTCTATCTGAAAGAAACATGGCCGTTTATTATATAGATAAAAAAAAAATATAGTGCACATAATGGTTTGTTCTGTTTCCTCCCTTTAGGCAGAGAACAGCTCATAATTTTAATATCCCAGCAGCTGTCAAACTTTCTGTAATAACTAAGTTAATGCAGATTAAATATTACCCGTCAGGTTTTTGTTCATACAAGTCACTTATTAATGAAGGAGACATAATTTAGCTTTTTCTTCCATTTTATTTAACAAATGATCCACAGCTCCAACGTGAAAATCAGAAGTTCCTGAAAGATAGGAGGAAAAAAAAGAACAAATCATAAAAATGTCAAAACATTAACCTCAGAAATCAAATCCAGCTACCAACAAAGCTAGTTTATTCTCACATGTTCAATAAACTTCAGTGATTAAATTGATGAAACCAATCAATTTTCCTTTTCCAGCTGCACATCCTAAAGCCCAGTGAGCCGCTTCTTGTCTTAATTCTTTTTACAGAATAGAAAGAATACTGATGTCTAAGCTTCTACTCGTTAGCAAGCTGATATTTAAATTTTTTAAGTAGGATTTTATATTGGGTGTCTCTTCCCATCTATTGTGTGCATATAAAGGAAAATTAAACTAACATTATTGGCACATATCTGCAGTCAGGATAACTGGATCATAAATACGTACTTTGCAACAACACCATCAGTCTTGGCCAACCTCAGAATGGAGTCGTCAGATTCTCCCTGCAGAAACGGATGAAAAACAGTCAGTTTCAGCACAGAGATGAATTAACATGATTTCATGCCAGACTTTAAGCATTTTACCAAATGGGCTTAAAACAAATCCTGTGAATGAGTTCAGGGATTCCTTGGGAAGTTTTACAGAGCTGAAACATTCTTAAGCCACGTTTTTTTTAAAGAACATATGGCATGCTATACATTTGAAAGTGATAAATAAAAGATCAGTAAAGTCTATAGAACATCTATAACACAGAAGCTTAATTTTTCAGGGAATGAAGTTTTCATAGGCCTAGGTAGAGTACAACTTCACTACTTCTGTTATTTGCTATTGTTTCTCAAATAAAATGCATAACGATATTACAGCTTTCATTGATTTATTTCAAATTTAACACATTGTATAGCCTGTAAGGTAAAAAAAAACAAAACAATTAATATAATCTTATCATGGTGTATTCTTGAGTACCGAAAATAATCGAATCATTTGATCAGGAAATTGATATTGAATCAAAGCGCTATGATGGGTGTGATTTACACCCCCCATTACAAACAACAAAAACAGTTGTTTTTCTCCCTTTTAAGTGATGCTTTTGCATCTTTAATCACTTTAGCATAAATGTTTGTTGTGGACTTTTATTTCTGTCCTGGATCTAAAACAGTAAAAGAATACAGAGAAAATTCCTGCTGTAAGACCTAGTTTTCGTGCTAGAGCATGTTCCTCCTGATTCCTGTTTATTTCTCGATGCTAAAGAGCTGGAGTTATAAAAACTTTTGTTCCTCTTAATATTTGGTGAAAAAAATAGGGGCAAATCATTTTTTATCAGAACAATGAAAGCATCTTAAAAAGGGGGAACTGTAATAATAAATCTGACCTATTAACACCTGTCTGTACTTCACCCAGTCCAATGGATCCCACTGCACATTTTGCCAGACTATTGTTTTAGGAAAGTACCGAATGCAAGGCAAAATAAATAGAGTACACCAAACTAAAAACACCACAGAAAAACGGGTATAAAAATTAAGTCCCTTTTTGTCTGAAATCACCCAACTCACCCATATGGGGATGGACATTATTTACTTGGAACTATTAGCATGATGTTCATTTGTGACATTATGCCAAGGTTGACCATGAAGATGTTAAAGGTCTGTTTCACCTTTCATAAATCATGTAATATTGTCCAGTCTGACGATGTGTTCCCGCTCCAACGTAGCACTTTTTAAAGGGCTAAATTAGCTCATTACCAATATGATAATTGTCCTCACTGATCAACACCGCATCACAGATAGCGTTAGAAAAAGAACGCAAACACAGAATGGGCCTTTTCACAACCAGGCAGGCAGAAAGGACATCTGTGGCACCAATAATTATTCAGTCATAAAAATATTTACTATGTTAATGACTGTATACGTTATGATGCAACATTCACACCTGAAGCAGCAGGAGCAGAAAAAAAAAAAAAACGCTTTATTTTTAATGCGTGTACAAGTTTAGTTCTGATACATGGCACAGGCATCTTTGCTGCTTCAGCTGCACGGTGAAAAGGTGTGTCTGATGCGCGTTGGGCGGAGCTACCCTGTCTTTTTTTTTTTTTTTTTTACAATGGCAGCCATATTTGCTGTTATCAGTAGGTAAAAAGTAGTGCAGTCATTTCATCCAGATTACCATCCCATTTTCAAATATTATTTGTCGGAGCCGCTCAGAACCCCACATACAAGCAGTGCGCTGTCACAAGGAATCCCATCCAACAGCAGCCTCTGACCTGGTCACCTCTTCGAGGTGGTTGGAAAGTTTTTTTTCATGTACGTAATGCCGGCAGATTTGGGCATTTTAAGTTCATTTAGGCGCTAATAAACTGTTTCAGAGGAGTGATCATAGTGATTTGTATCATCAGCGCTGTGACTCAATGCCATCTCCCATATCAGCTTCACTGATTGGTTGATGCGCATCGAGCAACAAAAGTTAAATTTTTCCAACTCCAGCAGCAGCTGCTTCTGAAGCGTTTTGAACGACGCGCTGCTTCAGCTGCTCAGACGCGCTGCTTCAGCTGCACAAAACACGCTGCGGGACATTTTGCTGCGCCTTGATGCGCATCGACCATTGACTTTGCATGTAAACTAGCTGCTCCTGCTGCTTTAGGTCTGAACGTAGCATGAGCTTGTGTTTTCAAATACTGTCATTTGCCATCTTACTGTAAAAAGTTAAAATGGTAAAAAGCATGTATTGCTTGATGGTATACATTGAGCTATGCGACCCATACAGGTACCATTTGTTGCATATGCAAACCAACAGGGGTGCCCAAACCTTTGGCATGGACCGGCGCGATGCACCTGAATACTGTTATCTTATTTGCAGAACGATGATAACTATTAATGTGCGTAAACAAATTTTTTATTTTTATATTTTCTTCTATTATAACTTATTTCTGCAAAACAGAAACAAATGGGTTAGATTTATTATTTACTTTGATGCTGGCAAAAAGTAAGCATGTACATCTGGTCTGTGATTATTACGTTTTAAGTAAAGTTTTAATGGAGTATTATTAAGAGGAAAGTTTCCCTGAGGAACGTTCAAACCCATGTCCAACAAACGACCAAGAATCAGGTCTTGAGTGAGGAACTAATCTTACCATCCTTCGAATGGCTCCGCAGATGGCGTAGGTCTTGGTCTGACCATTGAAGCGACCAGTCACTTTGTCGACCTAAAGAGAAAAGAAGAAATGGGCATTAGAGAGCTTTTTCTTTATCCATAACCAGAAGCAAAGCAGCAATCGGGAAAGATTTGGCCCACTTGTTTAAACATCTTTTATCCATGGCTGATATGAGGAAAACTTATCAGAATATATTTCTTTATTTCAATACATAAAACTACAATATTGATACAAACACACGGTAGCTTTAAAAAGATGCAAAGAAAACTCTCAAAGGAAACTTTTGCTAGTTCTGTGAAACTAACATTTAAGTATTTCCTTTAAAGTCATTTAACGACAAATGTAATCATAGACCAACAAAGGTAACAACATGTTTTTTGGAATCAGCAGCACATCTAGAATTTGCCATGTGAGGCAGAAGTAGGTCACATGGTCACAAAACAGAAGGTACAGAGCATCCCATTGTTACCCGCTTCACAAAAACAGAATCAAATATTTATACCATACAGAAAATGAAAGTATGGCCAAAAAAAAAAAAAAATCTGGTGGATGATTAATTCTGACCAACGGCCATTAAAAGGAATTTCCTCTATGTCAGTCTGGTAGGTTTTCTGTCTGCTGTTAAAACCAAATTTAGGCAAATTATACATCGAAAACAGAAGCAGCTGCTGGCTAAAGGATTTACCCTGAACAGACCATCAGGCTCCTAAGTCAGGTTAAAGATGGACGCCTTCAGTGGAATACATTCTAATTTAATACTTTGCAGATGCTAACATGAGTTCCATGGTTTAATCTGCTTAAAAAAAAGTAAACTGATTTTGTAATCAAACTGTAATCTAAATTTACTCTGATTGTAAAACAGGCAATTTGTAGAGTTTTTTTTTTTTTTTTTTTAACAAACAGTAGATGAGACTGTAATTACGACAAAACTCTACAAACATTTCCATGAAGGATGATAAAGGCAACATTACAAAAATGCTTCCATTATTAATGGCCAATATTTTAAGATCCTGTAAACACCTTTAATTTACAAGTGGTTATTATGAATTGAAGATTTAATGCAAGCTAAGGAATCATGTTATCAAACGCTGATTCTGCTTATGAGGTAATAATTTAGTAGGAATGTTGAATACAAAAATACAGCTGAACGGCTAAGAATCACAATTTAGCAAGAAATGTTTCGCCTCTTCCCCGCCCTTAATGCATAATAAACACCCATGGCCAAATTAAAGCAGTAACAGATTAACAACAATTTTATAAACTGTGTCATCGTTGGGGAAGCAAATTTTTTTATGAATGGGTTACTAAAATAATTGATAGCTTAAGTCTTTAGTTCATATTGTATAATATGAATAGTCTGTATAAAGGATCCAATTATATCTGTCAAACTGCAGCATTAGCAGGTGATGGGAGGCTTGGAATATTCTATTAGTAGCACAGTCTACTAAAGAGGGAGACACTGCACTGCATTTGACATTAAATCAATGATTACAAAGTCATTGCCAGCGATCACCTGGATTAGTCATGATTTCCCTACTTAAAAGGGGAAAAAACAAAAGTATAACACCTTCAAATAATATTTTCTATAAACACTGGACGAGTAATTGTGATTTTTACGGAATGCAGGTTATTAAAAACAAAATTATAAAAACCAAATTAACTTCCTTCAGAACACTAAACCCCATGTACGTTTTAGGTTTCTGGGGGAAGATTTGAAATCAGTGTCTTTTTTATATTTCCTCCTTTTTAGAAATCTGAAGATATTACAGAAAAGAAAAAGTGAATTGACTCAGTTAAGTGTCTAAACATCTGCTAATGTTAGCTGCTGCATGTCGTTCAGAATAGACAGGCAGATACTATATACATCGGCTAATACCTACATGTATATGTGTGCAGTCAGCAGCCATGTCTTGAAATCATGTAAAGCTCATGCATATTTTTTATTGTCTTTTTTGAGACTTGAATGTCATTTGTTATCAATTTGTACATGTTATATGAACAAAGTAGGAAAAGGCAATATAAGCTACAAAAATCAGCAGCACACATAAGGATATTTGTATAGAATAATCAGCACCAATCATGAATCAATATTGATCAATTTGTTATTCAAAGCTATGATATGTTGGTCAGTATCTTTTTTCTTTACCTCAGCAATGTTGATCTGGATGGAGGCGTGATCCTTTGCTCCAATGATTCTGTTGCTTGCAGAGCTGCAACAAAAAGATAGTTTTAGTTAAACTGGAAATAGCTGGACATCGATTTAGCAAGACTGTTTCACTGTAGTGAGAGAATAAGTCAGCTGAAAGGGTTTTTTTTTTTGCATGTATGTGAATCCAAAACCAAACAGCAACGTTGGTTTTATGATAAGGCATTACTGAAGGTATCAAGGAGCATGCTTATTAAAAGCATGTAGGGACGAAACAATTGATTTTATCAGCGATTTTTCAGCACAAAATTGGACTCTTGGACTAACCAATTATCAATCAATCAAAATAATAGATTAATCGATTTAAAAAACAATCGTTAGTTGCAGCCCTAAATAACGAATTTAATAAAAAAAAAAAAAAAACGTTTGATCCATTTCTTGTAATTGAAAGCTATAGAAATGCCTCAAAATATTTACCATGAGAAGTATTTGGGTGGCGAATGGTATAATTTTGAGGATCACACATAAATCTGGTGCAGTTATAAGCAAATATATTCCTGACCCAGCTAGATTTATGTTTACAACTGTCCATATTTAAGTTTTAAAAAGTTTGCCATATAATAGGCAAGACGATGGCCAGCAAAAGAAAGAATTAAGCTAAAAGGCAGGAAGAAACTAATAGTGAGGTGCTGCTGCGGTCAGCCAGACTGATCCAATGCCTCCAGGGAAGAGATGCACATTTCTCTCATCAGTTCACTTGATTATCATTTCATTTTCACTCTATATGCAAGAGCTCAAGGGTCCAACACAAAGTAAAAGAAAACTAATACAGAAGGTTGGATGAGCTTTCGCACTGGACCAGAAAATTTAAGTTTTATGGGTCCCTAGAACATACTAAACCGGTGTAAATAAAGCTTAAGGCAGGAAAAAATAAAGAACACGAGAACTTCAACATTAATGGTGCTGATAGCATAATGTGATCAACCGACAAACCTCTTGTAACAGTCGAGGAGTCTTCTAGTCCTGTAAAAAATTACTGAACACTCGTACATTTTATCTTTACAGTTTAAATAACTTTAAAACTCACCATTTTCGTGGGACGTAAAGATCCACAAATTCACCAGCGTCGTTCTGCATTTTGAGAGCGGGTGTGGGTGGTCGCCTACAAATCTAATTTAAACAAAAAACAAATACAGAGCCAGGTGGTTCTAGATTAATTTTTTTGACGGAAACATAATCTCAAAATAGCGAAGGACATAAATAAGGACACAGATGATACCGCAAGGAAGAAAAAAAAGCAGTTAGCGGCTAACAGAGCTAGCATGTGGACAGCACGGCCGCACGCGGCAGCTTACGCAGACGTACATTTCCTATTCACACACAACCAAGAGCAGTTTACTACCCCAAACAACAACCTAAGAGTTTAAAATACCATTAACTTTTAAATATTCCCAGTAATAACCGAAGTGATATGGTAAAGGAGAAAGATTAAAACGTTTTAATATCAGAGCATACGGCGGTACTCACCGTCTACGACAAATGGCCGACAGGAAAAGGAAGTAGATAGGCTACGTCATAAAATATGAGCCTCGCTTTATCGCCACCTGCTGGAATTTGAGTGTAACAACAAGAATCACACGTCAACTGGACAGAATTCTACCCAACCCCTCAAATCTTAAAATTAAGTTTTTCTAACTGGGCTAAAGTAAAGAGTATATGCTTAATAAATTAGAAAAATTAAAAAATTATTTGGCACAAAGGCCTCTGAGTAACTTTTCTACTATTTAGAATTGTTTAATCAGACAAATAGTAATGTCCGGTAAAGTGAAAATTCAATTTGTTTTACAGACTAAAACAAAGTGATTAATATATATATATATATATATATATATATATATATATATATATATATATATATATATATATATAACTTTTTACTGGTAAATCAATTTAAGCACTCAAAAGGATTTTTTTCATCTAAAACATATTAAAGACAATGAGCAGGGATGCAAAATTTCTTTTTGTTTTACACTGATGTAAACAAAATGACACATAGAATCTGTCTAAGTCTAAGTACAAATACCTTCATTGACAATAAACATTGTACTAGATATTACCTTGACCCCCATATAATAAGAGTATTAGCAGATAAAAGTAATTAAAAGAACAAAGAGGCTGTCCGAAAAAATAACACTCTAGTGAGACTTTCTGTGTCTGCTGGATTTCAGGTTACAATGTGTGAGTGTTCTTTAGTCAGTTATGGTATTTACAGAGGGTAGAATAGCCAAAAAGTTTACTCAAGTAATAGGATAGCAATATTTCATTAAACTATAACTGAAATCAAAGTAAACTTTACTTTGCACTTAAACTATCAAAAAAAAAGTACATTTTGGTCAATCCTTATTTGAGTAGATGTAACTGAGTAAATGCAACTACTGTAGTAACTGCTTGCCTCTGGTTTTGAAGAACAGAAATAACTTTGGGAATTGATTTCCCAGAGTTAGCTGATAGCTCAACAGTTCTACTTTCACAAGCTGATCAGTGTGACAGTTGCAATAAGGTTCTGCTTGATACTTGTAAATTAAAGTTTGATCCATCCCTTTGGGGAGCAGTGGGCTGCCACTGTGCAGCGCCCAGGGAGCAGTGTGGGGTTAAGGGTCTCAGGGACCCAGAGTGAAGGCTGCAGTAACTGAACCGGGTACTTGCAGCCTTCTAAGAACACAAGTGTACTGCTCAAACACTAGACCAATAATATATATATATATATATATATATATATATATATATATATATATATATATATATATATGTATATATTTATTTTTTTCCAACAATGTCTTTATTCTTCTCAAAAACATTCCCAGCAAGCATGTGAAGAAATAGCTGGCTGTAATACAGAGACAAGGGCATGCAAATACCCTATCTAGTCTATGTAGATTCATCAGATATGATGCAGCAGTTATCTTAATTTCTAACTAATTGTATTTCAACTCTGGATGTGAATTAATTTTATTTCTAATAAACATATGAAGGGACTAGTTTCTGAGCATCACCCCTGGAAAAGACTCTATTGTTTGCAATATTCTGGAGATTACGAAGGAAATTCTAGAAAAGTGTTTGATGTGGGAATCAAATTAAAAAAGTATAAAACTTTTTTAACGCTATAATCAAAAACCAATTAAATCAGGTTCGGATCAAGTTACAGACTAATTAGCTTATTTTTTAGTTACATTTAATTAAATATATTTTTTGGTCCAAGTCATTAACTTCTGTTTTGTCTGCATTCAAAAGAAACATATATGTACGGGTACAAATTATCTTACTGTTGATAGAATCAATCTTAATTATAGAGTATCCCATAAGTAATGTTGTTTGATTTGAAGATCTACAACATCTTATGAAACAAGGGGATTAAAAGCAGAAACAATATAACTTTGAGCTAGCATTTTTTTTTTACGATACTGAATATGACTCAGATCTAACAGTCTTTGTCCTAAGTGTAAAACTTCATTAAAAAAGGAAATATTTTTTGCTTCATTGCTACTAAGATGTTCATATTATTAAATGCTATAAAAGGAAAAATGTCTTTTTCTATCATATTTTTCTATCTTTTTACAGATAGTAGAAGAGTTTTTTTTCCTTGAGTTTATTTAATTCAAATTTGAATACAAAAAAGTGTAAATACGTTTGTTGTCTGAGGGTTTTCACTCCCTTTTTTTTTGTTTTTTTTTTGTTTGCATATTCAAGGATTGGGTCACTTGGTCCCATCTTTGTATGAACAGTTCCATCTTGAGCTGAAGTTTTGCGGTCAGATGCTCCTTTCTATGGACTTGCTTAAGTGTCTTTGTATGTATTTGTGATCTTTATCATGTATATTATTAGGGACTAATCCAAAGATAACCAGCATCAGGTCTATTGAAGTTTTTACATGTAATATACTCAACTTTAGTTTTAATATCCTGCCAATACTGTGTTAGTACTGGTCCCAAAATCCATATGAGTGACCATCCACTTTGCCACAGTTTCTCCAGCATAATGGTGAAACGTTTTTCTAGAATTTAGATATAGTTAAAGGGGTTTTGAAGTATCTTATCTTAATTTTCAATTCAAATTCTTTCCACAAGTTGCTGTTTATACCTCGATATCTCATCTCCCACACATGCATCCATGTCTTGTCTTCAATAACAACATGAAGTTCCAGTTCTTACTTATTGCAAACATCTATATTACTGTAAATTTAAGACACATGATTTTGGGATGAAGGTGTTTTTCTTTTAAAATATTGCTCTAAATCTGTAGGGTTGGCTTTCACTTTATCCCACTCATCATGCTTTTTGTCATGTCTTATTCGTAGGTATTTATAGTCCTATTTATTAGGAAGGGAAATAGATTTTGTAGTTATGAGAAATATTTTAAATAATTTCCTTTAAATAGCTGGTTAAATGTTTGCAGACCACATATGTCCAATTTTTTAAATCCACTCTCCCAAAATATGGGTGTAAATAAAGGTTACCAGCAATAGAAATGGCACGCAATAGGTTAATTGCATCTCCTAGCTTCTTCCTTGTGCAGTCACATACTGGTAATGTGTGTTTAATCCAAATATTTTTCTATTTAAGCTTTTTCCAAAGCTCTTCTTTTAGAAAGGGAAGGACAGATAAACATATTTCCTATATTGTATTTTGTTCTATTAGAAGCAGGTCTGTTTCTGCCTCGTTGTTATTCCGAAGAGCTCATATTAAGGCAAAAAAGCCTTGTCCTTCTTTTACAAATATTGTTAATGCAAAATGTCCACTTGAAATCTACTAAAGGAATTTGTAGTCATCTGAACAACAAGGGATAAAGCATCTGTTCACATTTCTTTATTATAGATTTGAAAGAAAAGGTTCAAATGATCTGAAGTGTTTTGTTTTGTTGTCTTTTGAAAGACGCAATAGCAGCAAGTTCAAGTCTCTACTGAACAGAAAAGAAATCATAGAGAAAAAAAAGTCAAATGCGATATTCTTAAAATGAATATCTTACAAAACATTTTTAAAATTGTACTCATTTACAAAGAAATGGAGCAATTTCTTAATTTCTTCCATCACATGTGAAAACATGCTGTAGATGTCTCATGTCATTGACATGTGTTCTTGTTATAAAGAAGTTTTTCAAAGAAAATTTAAATGTTTACATTACTTATGTACTCAAATCCCAAATACATAAAGAAGGACATACCAACAATAAATACATAGATAAATATTACATAGGTGGAAAGTCTGTGTTACTCCTTGACACACGTGCATCCAACCGCCAGTTGGTAGGGACACTTGCACCACTCTTCTTCTTCCCCATTGCGTACCCACTTAAAAACGTGAATTCCAATGTAGATGGGCTTGGCGACCATGCCTTTCACGGTGCAGGTTTTGCAGACCGCCACTTGCAAAGGATCCAGTTCATTTCCAACTTCAGAACTTGGCCTAAAAGGACAAAAAAAAGTGTACAGGTCAATGAACACAATGAAAGAGAGACGGATAAAACTGCCTTTATTCTTTAAAGCAGTGGGAGGAAATAGTGAATATATGCTATGCCTGAATATTCCAACAATGCATTTCATTTTGGGTCCAAATAAGTTTCTTTAGTATTTAGTTTATTCTTGCGATTGGTCCTAAAACATTTATCCTAAATCACAAAGTTTAACTGTGAACATTTTTCACATCATCTTATGATTAACATGTTTTCTTTTTTTTTTCTCCCTAAAAATATGGAGGAGTTTGCCTACCTGTCTTGAAGAGTCCAGGGTGCGACGGAAGATTTCCCCTGGTCAGCAGGTAGATGATGGATACCATGATCGGTATATCTCTTTGTTGGTTTGCAGTCCTTAGGACAGGCAGTATGTGGGACAGGATGACTGTTTACTCTCATCATCAGTCCCAGAATGACCTTGGAGGACAAACACAACATTCAGGATTCCTTTAAAAATCACATTCTGCTCATTAGCAGAAATCTTAACAGAGTTCCAATTTACAGATTTAAAAAAAAAAAGTATTTTTTCAGGTAAGAGTATATGGCAGTACTCACCAGGCAGAGACTTAGAAGCACTCTGAGCATCATAGTAGAAGTTGTTGTGAGTCAAGATAAAACAGGAGCTACTACTGTTGTTGTTTGTAAAATCAGGAGAGTTCCTGCTCTTATCTTGCAGAGGATACCTGGAATGCAATGCTCCTGACTCTCTGGGAGCTTTTATGTTGCAGCGGTGATGTAACAACGCGAGGTGTTTCCTCGGCATGCAAATGCCCTCGGGAACAATGGGAGGGTGCCAAGGTTATTTTTATTACCATTTCATATGCAGCAGTGAACATAATCGCATCAAATAAATGTTTAAAATTACATATTCTGTTCTGGGTTTATTTATTTTTCTTGATGTTCATGGCTCCAATAAGTTAGCTATTTAAAGCAGAAAAACTGTGAATGATTGGAGTTTAATGGGAAATTGCTGAAGTGTGATATTTACAAGAATCTTTATATGAAATGCAATGACACTATAATAATCTAATGTTTTATAGAAATAATTTACAGTAATTTATATTTATTAATAATTTATAAGTTTA